TGTGTGTGTGTGTGTGTGTGTGTGTGTGTGTGGATTGGCAGATTGGAGGGCTGGATGTGCGGTGGGGATGTTGAGCTGGCGCGAGGAATAAAGCGAGTTGCTTGTGTTTACTAGTGGTGATGCCGGAGCGGCCAATGACGTAGGGTTGTTCGGGCGAAGGCTGACCGCAGCATCGTTCTCTGGAGCTGGACTGGGAGCTTGCGATGTGGGTTTCGTCGTGCTGACTATGTTCTTTCCGGGACATTTCTACTACTTCGAAATTCTTTGTCAGGCCGTTGGTGGTCGGAACAGGTACTGCAGGCCCAGCTGGTCGTGGCCGCACGCACTTCGACCTCCCAACCTCGTCACTCGGGCTTACTTCGAAATTCTGACAATGGAACGGGTTTTTAGTTCTATGGTTCATGGGGGCATTCTAGACTTACTTCAGTAACATGTGGGAGCTTGGTGCAGAGCTTGCTTCAAGATAGGTGAAAGTGTACTTGCGACTTGCTTCGAATGCTAGACTACATTAATTACTTTATAATCCGTATTTTCTAAGTTTTCTCCAACAATCAACTGTTAAATGGGTTGTGTGGTGTAGGGGTTAGCACTCCAGATTTTGACTCGCACTCAATATTCTGGTGACCTTGGTTCGATTCCGAGCACGACCTATTATTTTGTCTTTTTGCCCTTTTTTGCTCGGCTAGACAATACCGGCAGATCACGCTTTTGAATTCCGAACACCTGGGTTTGATGTGGGTCTCTGCCCTCGGCACGCGGGAAAGGCCCGGCCCCGCTAGAAGAGATTTGGACTCGGGACTCGGGACTCGGGACTCGGCGACCCCAGCTTATGGACCCTTCGCGCCCCCTAGATAGACCGGCATAACATCCCACGACACTTCTCCGTCCGCATATCTCCTGCTGTTCACCATTACTGCTTTTTTGTTCGATTGCACCTACATCCGTTGGCTGGACCGAATTGTGTAGTAGAAGCAAATCTGTATGTCCTCTGCCTGCACAAACCCGCGGTTCCTGGACTCCTGATGGATCTCCTTCCTGTCAATGCCAAGACTGACATCCGTCAGTGACGGGTTCCCCGTACGTGCCTGCCCCCGGCTTAAGCTGGATTGCTCGCATCCCGACGGCCCGCATCTCATTCCGTATTGCTAGTGCTGCCCGGCTCCCCCGCAACTGTCATCTTGTCACTCGCCGTAGCTCCCCTCTCATTCCAGTCATGAGCCCGGATACCTACGTCGATCCGGCGCTCACCCGTCCGGACCTGCTCGTGCTCCAGAGATTGCTGCACGACAACGAGATTGCCGAGAAAGGCGCTGGGCCAATAGGAGGAGGGAAGACGCAGGCAGAAGATGAGAAGCACGACTCTGCCATTGGTACTCCAAGTTCGAATAGCCCGCCAGGCTCACCTAAGCAGTCCGAATGTATGGTCTTTTGATCAGGTCTCCGTTCCACCTTAGCCAGTAACTGACGGACACAGCGCCTGCCATTACCAAAGAGCTTGCTGAGAAGATTCCCCTCGATGATGGATCCACCATTGAGACTCTGAATGCTCTGAACAACCCCAAGCATGCCGAATTCGAGCCTACGATATTCGTCTTATGGGACCTGAAAGACATCAACCTACCTCCCTTCCTCAACGACTATGTCCTCCAGCCCTACATCCGCTGGGCACGTCGCACCGTCCGTGTCGAAACGGACGTGGTAATGTTGACCCATCTCATCCTCTACTTCACCACAAGCGTCCCCTCAGCCCTGTACCTCTTCCACAACTTCACCTACCCGCACGCCATCCTCCACTGGATCATGCAGTCGTACTACGTCGGCACCTACAACCTGATGATGCACCAACACATCCACATGCGCGGCATCCTCGCCAAAAAGTACTGGCTCTTCGACCAAGCCTTCCCCTACCTGCTCGACCCGCTCTTCGGCCACACCTGGAACACGTACTTCTTCCACCACGTCAAGCACCACCACGTCGAGGGCAACGGACCGGACGACCTCTCCTCGACCATCCGCTACCAGCGCGACGACATCTGGAACCTGCTGCACTACATCGCCCGCTTCTTCTTCTTCATCTGGTTCGACCTGCCTCTGTACTTCTTCGGCAAAGGCAAATACGTCACCGCGCTCAAGGCCGGCGCCTCGGAAACTGGCACCTTCGCGCTCTGGTACGTCCTCGGCTCGCGCGTCGACTTCCGCGCCACCCTCTTCGCCATCATCATCGAGTTCGTGTTGCTGCGGATCGGGCTCATGGTCGGGAATTGGGGCCAACACGCCTTTGTCGACGAGATTGAGCCGGACTCGGATTTCAGGTCCAGCATCACGCTGATCGACGTCGCCGTAAGCCTACCCCCACCACCCCCCTTTCCACCACCACCAACAAACTCATCACTGACAATCCCCTTTTTGTGTCTGTCCAGAGCAACCGCTTCTGCTTCAACGACGGCTACCACACCTCGCACCACCTGAACCCCCTCCGCCACTGGCGCCAGCACCCCGTCGCTTTTCTGAAGCAGAAGCAGCAGTACGCCGATGAGCACGCGCTCGTCTTCCGCAATATCGACTACATCTTCATCACCGTCCGGCTCATGATGAAGGACTACATGCATCTGGCCAAGTGTCTGGTGCCGATTGGGGACGAGCAGAGGGCCATGACGATGGAGGAGAGGGCGGCCATGTTGGAGACGAAGACGCGGCGGTTCACGGAGGAGGAGATTAGGCGGAAGTTTAAGACGGGGTAGAGGGGGAGGGGTTGGGGTTGGATGGATGCAAGGTGGTGGGGGAGGGTGTGTGGTTGGTTGATTTGGCATCTGAGGGAGATGGTGGGCGAGGATGATGTTGTATGATGCGTGTTGCGCTTGTTCCAAGAAAATCGAAAGAATCGTATCGCGTGGCTTGGTTTCCGTCCCTTTCTTCTGTGCATCCGTTGCACAAGTCATCATCGAGCGATGACGGTAGAAACAGTGTTGTACTTCGACCGGAACACGATCTCCACTCCTCGAGCAGTAGCACAACAAGACATCATAGCAACCACTCCACCATCACGTGGCATGCTCCCATCGCCATCAGATCCCCATTCCCAACTTTCAGCCACTGGCTCAGCTCGCTCCAGTGGGCTGCCAAGACGACATATCCAACAGTACCTCTTCAAAGCGCAGGGTCCATGCACGTCCATCGCGCGCACGAAGAAGCCGAGCGGGGAGAGCGGGCGGAGCAGCGAGAGCGATTTGCTTGTTTCCAGTGCGTGTGCATCACGCCAACATCCGCCGCGGTCTCGGGTACGAGTACACGTGTGACGGGCCACTGGTCCCGCCGTCTCGGAACCGTGTTGCTGGTCGTCGAAGTGTTGGTGGAGCTCGAGGGGGTGGAGAAGAAAGGAGCCGAATAGTCTGCAGTTGGGGCGGAGGGGCTCGTGGCCATTGTTGTTGACCTGAATGGCGGAGACTGATGGGTAGGAGTGGGATGGACAATCAGAGGTTTGCTGCCACGGTGCGGTGTTTTTGCGGCCGTGGGCCGGCGTTGAGTTGATGGAGGGTGGGGGCGATGTTATTCCTGGTGATGGGGCTGGACGAGCGAAGGCAATCCAATCCGCACAAGTCGTGGATTTCGTGAAGGGCGTGATGACCATCCAACAGCCTTCAGCGTTTCATGTTCCAGAGGATCGATCCCGTTGTCGCGAGTCCTCGTGCCAAATCCCTGCCATCACCACAGGCAGGAGAGTCTCCGGGCCCCAAGAGTAGTTTCTTCGAGAGAGGGTTTTGCCTTGTCCCCATAGCCTTTCCACATGCTGCCTGTCGCGGTAGCCTCCTTTTCTTGTTCTCAAACTGTGCGGTTGCTCAAGAGCCGTGAGACAGCGGCCGAAAAGGGTCCATGTTCAATAACATGGACGGATCCCACCACATCATCGAATCAGGCCCGTTCAAAGCGTTGGCATTTTCCATCGTACCGCTGCTGTCCAAGGCTAGAAGTACTGGCTCTGTCTCTGGGATTGTGAAACTGTCGACAAGCCAATCTGCAGCCTTTGAGGGCCATTGGATCGAAGTGGTCGGGATAGGAGCCGGATCGTTATTCTCGGTGGTGTCTTGATTTAGGTAGGTTGGAGTGTCCCATGCAAAGTCTGCGGAGTTGTCTGTGGATCTTTGTCGTTTGGGGGGTATTAGTAGTTCAGGTTCCAACGTCGGGAATTGACCCGTTTGCGTGCCGTCTCGAAACAAATAGACGTCTTTCTGTAATCCTCTTCCAGTATCTTCCGGTAGCACTGACACTTCCCTCTTTCTCTTCTTCCCACTCTCATCCCGATCATTCCTGCTACTACTCTCCACCGCTCTCTCACCCACTTCATCCACAACTTCCGGCACACCCTCAAAGTCAAACCCACAAGCCTTCACCGCATCTATAATTGCCCTCATATCTTTCTCATCAACAGGCTGTCTCACCAGCTTCCGCATCTGCTTCAGCGCCTCCACAAGCCGTCGCTGGTTCGCTTCCATGCTCTGAATGTACTCCCTGGCCGCGGCTTTGGGATCCGAGGGCCCGTCTCTTTTGGACACAACGCAGACGACATGGTCTTGCATGCAGCGGAGACATGGCACGTCGCAGTCGCACTGTAGGGTAGTTGTTGGTTGACCAAAACAATCAACATCGCTACACGAGGGATCAGTTCTCTCGGTGTGCCTTTACTTTCTTCATCCGGCAACGGTCACATGCTTGTTTGACTCGGGAACCCCTCTGGTGATGCTGCTGAGTCACGGCCAACGAACCATTGGTAGCGGCAGACGGCTCAACTGGAGGAGGATGAGATGTGGGCATGATGAGGAACATGGCTTGACATTCGTGTAGTATCTGACGGTGAAATCTTCAGTGGCGACCTCACGAGTATTTATCGAACGGGTATATCTGAGTAGGCGTCTACCACGGGGGCCGTGTGAGGTTTGGAAGCCGCCGCTGGGACTCCTGGAAGGATCAGCAGCCGATAGATACTAAGGGCCCCTCTCGGCAACGTCATCCCGTGGGGAACGGCACCATCCGCAAAGCTTGTGAAGCTTATGTCAGTTACTTCCCCAAAACCGGTAGCATGGCTCCCTGTCTAGACCGTTAGAGCTTCACATCATGGACCGGACGCGCGTACGTTCTAGCTCCTATCATTAATAAACCTCTCTCTGGTGATGCAGGCGGTTGGTGAGGCATTATTTCCCTACTCCGTGTTCGAACGCCAGAACTAAGGATGTGGACGGCCTGGGAATACCAATGGGTTTATGCCGCTTCTGCCAGCGTGAGACGATGACCTGGGTTGCTATCTCGGATTCGCTTCGCTTTTGATTAAGGTACGGCCATGTTGGGCCTTGAGTGACATCTTCTTCCAGCCCTCTAGCCCAATAGGACGCACTACCAGAACTCTCCCGAGCTCTTCTAGACATTATTCACATGATATCCAAGTCTTCGTCTCCTTTTCCTTCCATCATACCACGCAGGCCAGCGCGTGAGCATTGCCGGTCCAAAGCAGCGGCCCCATGATAACGACCAGCAGCATTACTCCAGCAGCAATGCTCGTGAGCCCGTAGAAGTAGGCATGTTTTCTTTCCAGCCCTTTCAACTCCACAGCCCACGTACTCACGGTCGTCAAGCAGCCACAGAAACCATCAATGACTCC